CATTACTCTCATTCGCCTATTCGTTATCGTTCGTCGGTGAAGTTTGGCCTTCGCCATAGGGCCTTCATCTAATCTGGTTCGCTTCCGTCGGTGGCCGGTCGATAAGACGGCTCACCACCCATCACTCGGGGTCTTTCGGTCCCACCACACAAGTGGAATGCTTCTTAAATAGGCTTGATCATTACACTTAGCAAAGGACGTCCTCGGCCAATTCACGAGCAAAGGAGCCCTCCCACCTCACGCTCTTCTAGCGTTGGATTTTCCAATACACCGTCGTAAGCCGTTGGCGTTACTTGCTGATACCCGCAGATTTCAGCGGAAGTCGTGCAGCCCCGTCTCGATACCATTGTATCACAGCAAAGGCGTAACAGGGGATACTCAGATGGGCCTTCCGTCATTACACAGAGCTTCTGTGGACTTCTGCATGTCAAGGACATCCGGACACACCCAGGCACACACATCCTAACGGACCCATGGGTCGTCCATCGCACCATTCACCCTTCCTTCCTGCGACAATCCAACTTTAGCGCCGCCACATGTATTACATGTCAGGAGCTGGGACTTCACGATCACCCGTCGACCGGCACAGGGACCAACAGCGGCAGCGGTGCCGCCGGCGCCGCCAGCGCCGCCGCATTGTGGCTGGGGAAGCTGCTGCTGCGGCCGGATCATCTCCCAGCCGGGCTGCGACGACTGTCCCTCAGCCACGCCAACGTGCTGCATGTCCCCGGAGCCGGAGTACGGCAGCTCCAAAGACTGGAGCTCAAGAGGGGATGCCGCTGGCAGGGCGGTGCATCGCCGAATCGACCCTGTGGCAGCAGTGGAGGCGACGGCAGCGGAGGCGGCATTAGCAGGCTTTCCGGGACTGGTCAGCCACCGAGCTCGCCGGTGCTCCCGGGCACCTCCAAGGGCCCTGGAGATTGTACGGCGTGCCGTTTCTGACGCATCTGCAGCTGGCGTTGGCGGCGCTTGGGTCGACCGAGCTGAACGCCGTATGTGGCAGCTGCGGCTGCCAGCTCCCATCGCTTTCTCTCGGCATTGCGGGCGGACCCGAGAGACGGCCGAACCCCCTTGAGGTGGGTCTTCCAGGCTTGTACGGCAACAGGTGGCGGGGTGAGTGGAAGGCGTTTTATCTAGGATGCATTAGGCGGCTCTCTATCTTCTGGCCCTGCTGTCTGCAGTGGGGCCTTATAGTTGTACCGCGATGTATTACTGTACCGTTTCCGAAAAAGTAGGGACCTGATTGGCTACCAGCTTGTCAGTTCACTTCGGAACGCGTGGAGCTGTTGTGGAGCTTGATGATTTTGTTCACGCTTGCCGTTTGAGTGATTTACTTCATTCACCACAACCGCAACAGTTCCTCTGCGCCGCACTGCATCGCTCGTCCAAACGGCGCCATCAGATCTACTCCAATAGATCGAGATCTCTTGACAGGTCCGCGCTCTGAGCCGTGAAGCTAAGGTCTGTCGCGGTTGGTGAACAACTGTCAACGGTCACAAAGCCAACAGGCTGAAGGCTGGCAAGCTGCGATTGTGTCTGCTGAGCGTTGAGCACCCGGCCTGGACCGCGGACTTGGCGGCCGAGGCCCTGCTGTGTGCCGGTAACGGCACCTCAGACTCATACGTTTACGCCTAAGCAAGGGACTGTCGGTGGCAGGTCGCGGACCTCCAGACTACGTATAACGGCCAATGACTCTTAGCCGTGTCTGCTAGGTTCCAGAGAGACACCATCTCTTCAACAGGTTATGAGCCCCGGCTTCCTGCCTCCCGCGCTCTGACAAGCATAGCTCCCACAGCATCAGCACTGCTGCAACAAGCACAGCTCCCACCACGTTGACACTACCCTAGCTACCGGCCTGTACGGATCCAGGGGGCACCTGCCCTTTTTCCGGCTTCGAGGAAACTTACACCCGACTTGTTACTTGATATCCAGGTTGCGGGGAAGCGACCTGCCTGCCAATTATTATGCATCCCGTTCCTCGTCTGCATCGTATGTCGTACGTTCCAATCCCCGTGCGGCAGGATTATGTACATGTCAGATGCCGCCACGTTGCATCTGATCTTGGAGGGTCTCATACTGGCGGTTGAGCTCCTGGCACAAGTGCAGAAGCCGCTGTCGTGCCGTGTCCCGCTCACCGGGCGGCAGGGCCGCCAGCACCGCGGCGGATTTGTCCGGGTGCCAGCGCCGTACGGCGGACAGGTAAGCTCGCCGCAGAGCAGAGCGCGGTGAAGCGGTACGGCCGCCATTGCCACTGTTGCTGCCTCTAGAATTGCTCCTGCGACTGGCCGCGGTGGCGGTGGCGGAAAACGCGTCCCCCTCCAGCATAGCGAGGCCTTGCAGCAGGCCTGTGCGAGCAAGTAGGCGGGGTAGGATGGAGGAAGACAAGTGCAAGGGGTGAATCCTCCTAAGGCCGGATATGCCAGGAAAGCTCAACGTGTGGCGGTTTGCGAGGCAAAGGAGGCGTGCGGAAGCGGCGGAAAGGGGGGTTTGGCGGGAGGAGGAGGAGGGGCCCGGATTGGATTGGCTACAACTCCTTGAGGGAAAGGGTGATGGGGCTCCAGGGGGGTTCAGTGTCTTGGATTGGGTACAGTTGAGGCTCCGACACGAGGTGACACATGGAGATGGGCTTTCCAACAACCTCGATAGCCTCGCTGCATGTTGGGAATGGAACACCAGCTAGCGCTCTGTGTGTCTGTGTTCCCAGCGCACCGGTTCCATGTGCACGGCTCTGAAGACAAGCACGGCTGCATGGTATGTGGTGGCAGTGAAGCGATCAGGGCTGGGATGGAGCACACACACCTGGAAAACCGCAGAAAACGAGGCGATGGAGAGGCCTGAAAGTGCTTACCCGATGTGGAAGGAGGCCATGGCATGTCTTTGATCTGTAGCCTAATGCAAGGTGTCAACTCCGTCGCGACTGCCGTTGTTGCTGCTGCTGCCGCTGTTGCTGCTGAAGTGGCGGCAGCGGTTGTTGGCTTCACACCAGAGCTGCGCTGGCCCGCCTGCTGTCGCCCCGAGCCGCTCCCTTTCGGCGCACCTTCCCCATCGTCCAGCGACTCACCCTGGACCAGCCTGTGGAGAGCCTCCCACCTGCACCGCATTGCAGGTCGGGCGGAAGAGACACGCCCACACCGGAAGCAGGCAACGCTAGCAAATGAAGAACGCGCCGTCCCTTCGGGGTTACCGCTACTTTGCCTTCCTGGGGCCGCTACGGAAGGGGGGACCCAAATCTGAGAAATGTACGGCCCTCAAAACAGACAGCAGACCGCAGCCACCAAGGCACCCACCTCTCAACCAGCTCGCGCCACAGGCTGACCATGCTGGCGGGCGCCCCAGCGAGCTCTCCCTCCGGGGTTCCCCGCTGCCTCTCACGCCCCCGACCCGGCTGGTTACCGTCGTCCCAAGGTGGAGTGCCTCCCCCGGCGCCACCATCACGCGGCGTCCCCGGACCCTGCTCCGCAGCCGCGCGCGCCGCGTGCAGCTTGTACTTTGCCCTGCGCTCCGCGTGGCGCCGCTCCCTGCAGCAGCAGCAGCAGCAGCAGCAGCAGCAGCAGCAAGAACTGACGTAGCTGTTTGCCCCCAGAGGGTCCTTACCCTCCTTAGCCCGGAAACGCC